AAAAGGCTAGCTACTGTTTTGATATCGTTAGACTTTTCAAAAGCCTTTGATACTATTGACCAAGACTTACTTTGTGCCAAACTGCATTATTTTGGCTTTAAACAAACTTCAATAAACCTTTTTAAATCTTATTTATCTCAACGGTATCAAATTGTGTCGGTAGGAGGTGAAAGGTCTAATGCTTCAAATATAATTTCTGGAGTACCGCAAGGGTCAATTCTTGGCCCGATGTTGTTCCTGATTTATATAGCGGACTTGTTTGAGTGTGCAAATGCTCACATGCAAGGATTTGCAGATGATTCTGTATACTTATTTACCTTTGACCCAAATAATTATAATAATGTATCTGGTGAAATTAATAGAGATCTTACATCGATCTTTAATTATTCAAAGTCTCACAATCTAAAACTAAACGCTGATAAGACAATCACAATGTTGTTTTGTTCAGAAAATCATCGTACTCGTTTGCAGGAATCTCTTAAGTTAAAAATAGATGACATCCCTCTATCATTCTCTTTGGATATTAAGCTTTTAGGTGTTACTTTTAATAATAAACTTAATTTTGAAAGCCACGTCAGTAAATTAATTAAAAATACATATGCACGCTTAAGGGTGTGCTATGCTAATAAAGATTCTTTAAATACACAAATTAGAAAACAACTAGTTCTAGCACTAGTTCTGTCAAATTTTAATTACTGCCAAATCGTCTACTATCCTTTCCTGAGCAAAATTACAAAAAATCGTCTTCAAAAAGTCCAAAACAGCTGCTGTAGATTAATTTTTAACCTAAAAAAGTTTGACCACATTTCTTTCAAATTTAAACAACTGGGATGGCTGAGTATTGATAACACATTTATATTTAATTATTCCACTTTTATTCGCAAAGTTATGGACTTATCACAGCCTTTTTATTTAAGAGAGAAACTTACGTTTAGAAGCGATTTGCACGTATTAAGTATTCGCAATCTCAACACTTTGTCCGTTGCCCGGCATAACACCGCAATATTTCAAAAAACTTTTACGTATATAGCTTCTAAACTGCATAATTCTTATGTTAGTCTAAACGACCTAGGTTTAACCCTTTTTCTTAAGAAATTAAAAAAACTCCTATACAACTCTCAAAACTAAATTATAAACCATAGTAGATCTGATATAATTACATTTTTGTGTTTTTGTAATATTCCTTATATTTTTTGCTTTATATAATTTATATAATTGTTTGATTTTTTTTTATTTCGTAAATTTTGGTTAAGTCGAAGAGTGATGTGAAATCAAACTTCGCCATTTTGAAATATATATGTGAGTGTATATATTATCAAATAAAGACGTTTATTATTATTATTATTATATTATTATTAATTCTCAGCAAAATCTCCAATTTTTAAATTGAATTTTGTTTCATTATAAAGCTGATTCTGCAACTTCACAAAAAAAGTTTTTGAAAATTGAACTATCAAAGTTATAGCAATGTTGCCAGAAGTAAAATATTTATGATGTTTTGGAAAATACAATAAATTTATATGTAAAAAAACGTATTATAAGATAACCAAACTAAAAAAGCCTACCCACCCAGCAATTTTCGTTATAAAAATTATATTAATTTTACCAATTTTAAATTTGACACAACAACATTCTCTTTTGTCAATGTGAACTATGAATTTAGTGTAGTGCATAAAAAAGTCAGATTTAAGCATAAAATACATACAGTAACCAGGCGGCCCTGGTCTTAGGACACTAACTAGGGCCTTTTCCAGAAATCACCACTTTAGGTCATGCAAGGCTGTAAAACATTTCCAATACTTTTATTTTTAAAACCGCCGATATACGTGAATATTTTGCATTGTACATATTTGTTATATGCAGGATTTTTATTAAATATACCAATCTAGAGGTGGCAGAAAAGGTTGGAATTTTTATAAACAAGAGAAAAGAGGTGTCTAAGCATAGCATAAATAAATTTTAGTAAAATATTAAATGGTCCAAATACTAAAATTCCCTATAATAAACTGAACTTTTCATTTTTCCATTCTGAAATCTGGTAATTATCATACTTAAACATCAATAAAAAGAATATATATTTAGAAAAAAAATAAAAACGGTGTTTTTAAGAAATATCCAAAAAACTTTTTTTTTAAATTCCCTTTTTTAAGAAAAATGTGATAACTTATCTGAAAGGGCTTCAAAAGACCTTTAAAACAAGCTATTACTCAATGCTCTGTGATATATCATCGATGTAAGTCTTGTTTACTATTTAGAAAAAAACAGTCCTATAATTGAAGGATTTGTTGATTCAGACTGGGCAGGTGACAGAATTGATAGAAAGTCTACTACTGGCTATATTTTCAAATTTTTTGGATGTTCAGTGTCTTGGGCATCTCGTAAACAAAGTACAGTAGCTCTGTCATCGACTGAGGCTGAATATATAGCTTTAAGTTTAGCTGTTAGTGAAGTATGTTGGCTTCGATACTTAGTTAATGATTTAGAAATATGTCATAAAGATGTTTGTGTAACAATTTTTGAAGACAATCAGTCTGCAATCAAAGTAAGTAATAACCCTGAGTTTCACAAAAGGTTAAAACATGTGGATATTAAATTTCATTTTGTACGCGATAAAGTTCAAGAAAAAATTGTGAATATTGAGTACATAAGTACTGAAAACCAAACAGCCGACATATTTACTAAACCTTTGGGTTTCATTAAATTTAATAAGTTTTGTAAGGATATTGGTCTAGAGGTAGGACAAATTTACCATTGAGGGGGTGTGTTGAAAACAATAGTAAATTGGTTATTAGTTAGTTTAGTATTAATAGGTTTTTAGTTTAATGTAACAAGTTGGCAACAAGAAGAAGAAGAAGATAAGAAAAAAAAGAAAGTTGTTGTTGGTGATAATAAATTGTAAAAGTTGTATGAAATATTTGTGTGTGAATAAAAACACTTTTTAAAGTTTCTTGTGCCTGATTTACGACCTCCAACATGAAACCGGCTCATTAAAATTTCCCATGAGGAATTTCACAACGGCAAAATTTTAAAAGTCAATATTTTAACATAAAAATTTGTCTAGTGGGCGTGCGTAATTAAGTCTTCTAAATAGATTTTCCAATTAAAATGTACTTTAATAGTTCTTTATTTTTAATTGTACAATACAAATTTGAGTTTTTATTCGTAAAGGAGATATTTGCAATATTTTTATAAAATATCACATTTTTATAAAATTTATAGGTACATATATTTTTTTAAACTACGCTAAAGTTTAAAAACTGTCGGTAAATTTTGATAAATACTTAATTTCCTGCAAACTTAAGTTTAAAATCCTATAAGTAAGCATTTAACTTTTTTATAAAATATTAAAAAGACACTATATTTATCAAAGAGTGAATAACACCCTCTATGCGCTTAGTTTAAAAAATAGCCAATACAAGTCAATGCAAGAAAATAATTTTTTTACCACTTTGTCTCTGCCTTACAATTAAGTGAGGATTATCCTCATTAATCGATTAACCTCATTCAATTCATTGGCAGATGCGAACTGTTGTTCAGAGTCCACTGCCAATTTAAATTTTAAAGTTTAAACGATAAGTATTATCTGAAAAGGATTTTTTTCGGTTTTTAACTTTTGTAAAAAGTTTATTGCAATTATCTACTATATTTTCTGCAACTATAAGTATAACGTCATCAACCTATTCAGCTTATAGGCAAAGCTTATGTGGTAACTTATAATTATTATAAAAATATTGGTTTTAAAACACGCTTAAAAACTTTATAGAGTTTTTTTACTAAAAACCCAAAGTATAATATTATAATATATTTATATTATTATATAAATTCGGAGTTTTTTAAGTAATTAAGGAATTGTTATAATGGCACATGTAAGGATGTTTGACTAAGCAAGTTGAAAGAACGGATGGTTGGGACAATGCATTAGTTGTACATAAAGAGCCGCACCCAGACCAGGCGGGCCGACACGCGCTACGAAGTGTACCCTGCATTACAATAAGAGTCGCGGGTGGCTTCGGTTTAAGTCATGAATCTTAATTATACTTTATTATACATAGTTAATCACACTTTTTTGTTAGTTAAAGGTGTGACTATACAGTTTTTAATGTACTTTTCATATTACATGTTTTATTGATTAAACTACATACAAAATATGTCCCTTATTAAAATTTAGTATGGTGAAATATGTTGTATCACATTATTGGCGCTGGCCAAATAGATTTACCATACAATTTTAAAATATATATTACGAGCCCTAACCACAAAATGTTCGGACACTTTATAATTTATACAGAAATATTTTTCGTGAATACTATCTCAAAATTATTAGAGGTTATAAAAAATTCAGCTCATTTTAGCATATACCCCTCGAAGCGATTTTTATTTTTAAAAAGTTTACCTTTTATTTTTAGCTTTTAAAAAAAGGCTAACTTTTTAACTTTTTTTTGTATGAGTAAAAAAACTTATAAATGGGCCCATTAAAAAGAACATAAAATATTATACAAACCCTGAAAATTTGGTAAAAAATAAATAAGTTATAAAAAAGTATAAGTAATTTAAAAATGCTATTTTTAAAGAGTTTTTGCAATTTTCTTAGGAAACGGGAGATTTTGCAGATATATATATCGTTATAACTTTCTTATTATTTATACAATTTTTACCAAATTTTCAGGGTTTGTATAATATTTTATGTTCTTTTTAATGGGGCCATTTATAACTTTTTTACTCATACAAAAAAAGTTAAAAAGTTAGCCTTTTTTTAAAAGCTAAAAATAAAAGGTAAACTTTTTAAAAATAAAAATCGCTTCGAGGGGTATATGCCAAAATAAGCTGAATTTTTCATAACTTCTAATAATTTTGAGATAGTATTCACGAAAAATATTTCTGTATAAATTATGAAGTGTCCGAACATTTTGTGGTTAGGGCTCGTATAAGTATGCAAGGATACAAAAATTATATTCCATCTAAAACCAGAATGCTTTTGCTAATAACACATTTTGTTACAGGTAAAAAATGGCGATCTTTAACTCCTCAAGATAGAAGACCTTTTGTGGAAGAAGCTGAAAGACTAAGAGTTATTCACATGACTGAACACCCCAATTATAAATACAGACCTAGGCGACGTAAGCATAATAAACAAAGAGCCACTTCCACGACAGCTGCACGAGTGGGACCATCCCTTTCTAGTCCAAGTCTTCCTAATATGTCACCAGGATACAATACGGGATATATTCCAAATTCACCAAATGTTGCCTCACTAAACACATTTTCTTCTATAGAGTTTCCAAATCCAGGTGGAAATTTGGAGTTCTCACAAGATAAAAGATGCAGTCCAGATCTCTATAAATTGAATTCGTTTAACAGTTACTTAGGATATCAGCCCAGTTATTTACAAAAAAGTCCATTCTCTATTCATACGCCAGATGAGTCTCCTACGCAAAGTCCAGAGCCAAAAGGATTTAAAGATTCTGTAAGTCCACAAGAATGTAAAGATAAATTGCTGGAGAAGACGGCTTTACCAACACCTGAATTATCACCAATAGAGAATGATAAAGAACATTACAAGTTTGATGATAAGCGTATAAATAATTTACAAAATAATAATGTTTCTGGCATTATAACTTCAAGAAATTTAAGTCCTACTACACAATCAAGTTTTAATTCTCGAGTTCAAAATTATAGGCATAATAATTTAAGCTATACGAATGCTCAACCTATAACATCGGTTCCAATGGCAAATGGATTGTATGTTATGTGTGCAAATAAAAGTTCTGTTGAACAGGGTCATGTTGTAACAGGAACGTTTTATCCACCTGTTGCTTCATCTCAAGATCAACAGCTTCTAGGACCAACTCAAAATAGTCAAAGTACTGTTTCATCTGCAAATGTATATCACTATAATTCTAATATGCCCCAATATTATTCATCACCCTATGAAAATTCAGAAATATCAAGTAAACACGAGACTTATTTGGAATACCATCACCATCCTACAATTATACATAATTATAAGGCACCTATAGAAGAAGAATATAATCAATACACTGAGAATAATTTGGTACAATCATATATTCAACAACCTGAAGATCGTAGTGATTGTGACAGTGATGTAGACACCAGAGAATTTGACAAATATTTAAAGTTTACTAATACAGAAGCTAGTGCTGTCGATTCAAACCACAATTATCATAATAGAAGCGATACAAATTCAAATTTGACATACAATTTTCAAGCTCAACAAACGTCTGTGATCTTACCAAATAGTAATGTGAAACCTGAACCATCCTCATTCGCCGAGCAAGAAGTTTATGATATTGGACAATCAAATGGTATTTCTAAAAATGAAGATGATTTTAGCGAGATCTTAGCTGGCGTTAGAAAAACATGTTTTAGTAATTAAAATATTTAAGTAAATAAATTTTGTATACTAGTTGTATTAAAGATTAGTTTTGTTTTATATTTTTAAATAAAATATTGATTTATATAATATTTTAAGTAATGAAATAGTTCCTTTAAAATCAGGTTATATAATTTTGTAAATACAATGTTTAAAATTTCAATTTGTATATACTTAATTTAAATCGACATGAACATAACCCAAATACAATTATGGTTCAATTATTGAAAAACAACCAGCAATTATAAATAATAATAAAACTTATTTATAAAAAACAATAAAATACCACATTAGCAAAAACCACTTATTATAAATTCAACAGAAGTATCACAAACCTTTTATTTTATAAAACCTTAGTGTGGCATGTGCCATAATTTAACAGTTGTTTGTATAGTAAATACTAATGCCATATCAACATAACCGAAGTAGTAGCAAGTGTGAGTAACCTCGCAATCTAGGAACACAAGCTTTTTTGCATTACATAGCTTCAGATTTAACAACTCTGAATCTCCCTATCTCCAGCTCTGCAATCTACTTCTATCTGGTTCCCGATCTCTTTGCATCCTGAAAAGTAGGTTAACGTGGAATCTGAACTTTGGAAATCCGCATGTTGTCATGATAACTGAAACGGTTGGGTCAACTTTTAAGGGGTGCAGCCATGGACAAACATTTTGATATAAGGAACATGTGTCCGGGAACGCCCCTTTTCCTAACTACAGGCTAAGCACGCTTTGTTTTAATATGGCGAGCAGGAACCTTGCAGGTGGACAGCATGTCTGTTGTACTAAATGAATAGTGCCACATAAGCGAGATGTATTAGTGATACATCATGCAATAGTGGCTGCCTTAGATAAGTAGGTATATTAAAGTAGATGCCTACTTATCATAGGCAACCAAAACTGCATATTGCAACCGTTAACAATTAATAAAATATATATATATATATATATATATATATATATATATATATATATATATATATATATATATATATATATATATATATATATATATATATATATATATATATTATATTAATTGATGTGGGCCAATGGAAACTTTCCAACCTGGTTTTATATATATATTATATTAATTGATGTGGGCCAATGGAAACTTTCCAACCTGGTTTTCTCAGGTTTTACGAAAGAAAAAAAACCGCTTGCACCCGTCGATTTCTGATTTAAGGGGGACAATTTATTTTTATATTTTTAACCCCTCAACTTTAACCCCTAAGAGTGGCTGATAGTTACCCCCAAAATTTGAATAGGGAAGGGGAGTCGATATTTCATTTTAAAGGTATTTTTGCCCTGATTATACCCTCCAAGTTTGGAGTCGCTGCTATCATTCCCGTTGATATGACAGCTTGTCAAAATATTGAAAATAGACTATTGTTTTAAAAGGAGTAAAAGCGATACTTGCCTTCCTTAATAAAAATACCTTCTTATTGAAGTTTTATTATTATTATTAATGTTATTTATCTAACAAACTGTCCAAAATGTCCTCCATTAACATTCATGCAATAATAAAATCGATTCCCCATCTCTTTTTTAACATTCTGCAACATATCGGCGGTTATCCTTTGACCATTCAGTTCTTGTAGAACTTGAACAGAAGCTGGCTGTGTTATATAAATTTTAGACTTTAAATGGCCTCATAGAAAGAAGTCCAGAGAGGAAAGATCAGGGGACCTTGCAGGCCACTCAATAGGTCCTCTTCGGCCAAGCCAGTGGTCTCTAAAATTGTCGTTTAGAAATTGCCGAACGGGTCTGCATAATTCGGTGGGGCTCTTCTTGTTAAAAAAACATTTCATCTTATGACAAGTTGTTATCTTTAGCAATAACCTCCCTTATTCTAGTATTTATTATTTATTACAAAATTAAAAACATATACGTTTATCTAATATCGCCGATGTAATATATCGGTATATTGGTACTATTTACCGATATATCGGTATCGGTTTCGAAAAAATCGATATATCGATATCGGATGCTTCCTTATTTAAACACATTTGCAAATGCTATACATTTTTTGCCTTTTGGACGGCATATAGATATCCATTGCCAATTTAATTCTATGACGTCCCATGGACGTCCAAGGTACGTCAGAAATGGGATATCCAATATGCTATAACCAATTTAATTTTATGACGTCCCATGGACGTCCAAGGTATGTCAGAAATGGGATATCCTAAACTGGCCTGGACAGACCCAATCAGGATGTCCTTGGGTGGTCGTGTGCTATTTGGGAAGAGCACCACTTGACTATGCAGTTGTGACCGTCATGCATCTCTTGACAAAGTTCACTACAAGTATCAGATCACCTATTTATTCATGCGACACAACCCGAATTGAATAGCCCTTGCTTTCAAAATACTTAATAACTGACATTAAACCTAATAATTTATCATAATACATAATACGCACACCATAAAACATAACTGGACATAATGTGTTTTCTTACATAACTGGGAACAGACATAATAATTTTCATAATCATAACTTGTATTTAAAACTTAAGCTAATGGTGGTATGACCTAGTAAATGACACAACAACCACAATAATAAGGTAAGTAAATTGAGGATTATTTAGTTTTTTTTGTGTGACTTAAAATCCTTTAATATATCCTAAGGCCAATAAAAAAAATTAAAGTTATCCAGCCGTACTGACTTGAATACATGCGCTGAGTCGGAAAGCATACACATACATACATACTCAAGTGTGTACATATCATTCGTAACTACTCAACGCAAGTTTAACATCAGCGCGACTGTATATAACGCAAGCCGTCAGCTGTCGGGAATTATACTATTTGTTTCTATGTATAAATTTTATTCTTTAATATATCCAAGCACATACCTAAGGCCAATAAAAAAAATTAAAGTTATCCAGCTGTACTGACTTGAGTACAGGCGCTGAGTCGGAAAGCATACACATACATACATACTCAAGTGTGTACATATCATTCGTAACTACTCAACGCATGTTTAACATCAGCGCGACTGTATATGTATAACGTGAGCCGTCAGCTGTAGGGAAATATACTATTTGTTTCTAAGTATAAATTTTATAAACCCAGAATCGTTTTGTTTTTTAGTTTTTTGTGTGACTTAAAATCCTTTAATATATCCAAGCACATACCTAAGGCCAATAAAAAAAATTAAAGTTATCCAGCTGTACTGACTTGAGTACATGCGCTGAGTCGGAAAGCATACACATACATACATACTCAAGTGTGTACATATCATTCGTAACATCAGCACGACTGTATATGTATAACGTGAGCCGTCAGCTGTCGGGAAATATACTATTTGTTTCTAAGTATAAATTTTATTAACCTAGAATCGTTTTGTTTTTTTATTCCTTCTTTTATTAATAAATTTGCTATAAACACATAAGCAGCCCCAGCAATTATTACTTCTGCAATCACGAACACAAATGAATGTGAAGTAAATAATACAAATTTAATCCGGTGTCGCACGCATACTTATGTAGAGTCCAAACTCAGCGCATGTACGCTCAAGTGACTTGAGTCAAGTCAGTATGTGTCTTGAGACCTAAGCATTAACCTTTTTATTAATTTTGACGCCCATTGCTTAAGACCACGCATTTTGTCTACCCGGTAACACGGACTTGTAAAAAAAATAAAAAATGTGTTTTGTAGCAAATTGTAGTTTGTAGAACAGTACCTATGCGTAAAAGTCGGCAGAACAAAAATGTAGTTATTGTATAATTAACAAGGACCGGATTTTAGGCAAAATGCCTTTTTGATTTATTGTCCTAAAAGGACATTTTTATGAGCCTAAAATAGGTTCTTTTAATTTTTCAGAAAAAAATATATTTTTCATTTCAATAGATGGCTAAAGCAACTTTGACAACCGTTGGAATCAACGTATTGTGCTTTTGTTTGTATTTGTCACAGACAAATTTTGTTTGTTTGTTTGTCTGTGGTATTTGTTTATATTATTTGTTCAGCGTCGGCCTGCTTGTTTTTGGTAGGTTTATAGAGATTTAATTAAATAATAGGTATTTCATTTACAAAAACTATTAATGTTGCGAATAATTTATTTTAGTAATCCTAGAAATGCCCAAGGCCAAATCCGGGATCAAGGTTTCAGGGTGGTTGCAGGAGCTGGACAAAAATAAAATATTTCAGCCAAATCAGTGCGATGACACCCAAATATTTTGCAAAAGGTGTGCCAAGATGCTAAGATTTTAACATACTTACACAGTTATGTTCAACCGTGTTGTTTTTTTTTCATATCGCCTATTTTGGGCACTTTCGGCCTAAATCGGCCTAAAATGTAGGTTTTTATTGCCTATTTATGGGTCCTAATTTCCAATTTTTAACGGCCTTAAATCCGGTCTTTGATAATTAAGTGCTTTAGTAATGCCAATGAAATCCAAAAAAATTGAATGTTCTAAAATTAAAAAAACTAAATATCCTGTAAATGCGTAAAATAATATGTACATCTAGTACGTAAGTTATAAATGACGATTTCATAGACAGCCATTAAGTGATTTTTGTACAGAACTTATTAAAATATTGCCCAATTTGTATAAAATATTGTACATCCACCTAAAAATAGCCGGAAAAAACAGTGGAAAATATTTTTTTTTACCTAACCTATTTCAAAAACCCTTTACGTTTTTATTTATTTATATTTTCTTAAAAAAGAGGCAAAGAATGCAGTGAAATATATACAGACTGTATAGAATCAAGTTAGTAAGGCTGGAGATAAGGATGACAAATTATATTCTAATCAGAGAAAAAGAAACAAACTTTAATTGGGCGTGGTTTAAACCAAGCCATTCGTAATTACGAACCATAGTTGCCAGGTTGTTTTAAATCAGAAGAGAACGATTAGAATTATCTAATAAATAGTTCAATTTTATTTGTTTGAAACTTTAAAAATAACAAAAAAATTAATAATATGTCAAAAATAATTTGATTTAGTTAATTTTCTTACTTTTAATATTAAAAAATAAGAAAAACAACCCTTTTAGGAAACAATAATAGCATATGGCAACAGCGCGGCATGCAGCCAGATACAAGGGCATACAGTGGGCGGGGTTTGGCACTTGTTTTATTTAAGTGTATCTATTCGTTTTAATACACACTGTATT